TCTGCATTAATGATTTTCCAATTAATATTCGTAGGAAGATGCATATCTATCATGGTCGCTTGCAGTGGTTTAGCAGCATTTTTACCATTAAAAATAATATTTGAGCTACCTGTTACCGTAATATCGTTATAAGTAATATCATGCCAATTTGCTTTCGTAGAACCTGATTTATTTTCATAAACCGTATCCATCATAATCGCATTTTTAACCTTAGACATAGTGACATGGTTATAGTTTACAGATGCTACTTCTCCCGAAGCAGACTTATCACTTTTAATTCGTAAGCCGTTATCTGTTCCATTCATTATCAAACCGTTAACGTCTATATTATAAACTCCATCAATTGTTTCACTACCTATAGATAAACCATGACCAGAGCCAAAATTGTTTTGTATGAAGCTCATGTCTCTAGAAGGACCACTATTTGGTTTGGCTTTAATCGCAATATTGTCATCGCCAGTACTAATATTGCTGTATGCAACAGTGACATTTCTTGAAGAAAGAAGATCAATACCATCTGTATTTCTAGCATTTGCAGGTGTATCAATTGTCGTGTTCCAAGCGGTTAGGCCATTACTTTTGTAGAAAACAATGTGAATTTTTGGTGAGTTCTTTAAGGTAATTTTATAAAGTGTAATATTCTGACTATTATTAATATGAATTAGACGTGGAGCGTTCTGATTTCCCCCAGTTTTTGCTTTTTGAGCTAAATCCCACCAACTTGTCATTTTGTCATTAAGTACGGTACTACCTTGCCCATCAATAATACCTTCACCATAAATACCAGCATTATTAGAATTTTTAAACGTAAATAAATACTTCAATTTTATTATTACTAGTGTTTATTTTTTAACATCTGCATTAATGATTTTCCAATTAATATTTGTAGGAAGATGCATATCTATCATGGTCGCTTGCAGTGGTTTAGCAGCATTTTTACCATTAAAAATAATATTTGAGCTACCTGTTACCGTAATATCGTTATAAGTAATATCGTGCCAATTTGCTTTAGTAGAACCTGATTTATTTTCATAAACAGTATCCATGACAATTGCATTCTTAACCTTAGACATAGTGACATGGTTATAGTTTACAGATGCTACTTCTCCCGAAGCAGACTTATCACTTTTAATTCGTAAGCCGTTATCTGTTCCATTCATTATCAAACCGTTAACGTCTATATTATAAACTCCATCAATTGTTTCACTACCTATAGATAAACCATGACCAGAGCCAAAATTGTTTTGTATGAAGCTCATGTCTCTAGAAGGACCACTATTTGGTTTGGCTTTAATCGCAATATTGTCATCGCCAGTACTAATATTGCTGTATGCAACAGTGACATTTCTTGAAGAAAGAAGATCAATACCATCTGTATTTCTAGCATTTGCAGGTGTATCAATTGTCGTGTTCCAAGCGGTTAGGCCATTACTTTTGTAGAAAACAATGTGAATTTTTGGTGAGTTCTTTAAGGTAATTTTATAAAGTGTAATATTCTGACTATTATTAATATGAATTAGACGTGGAGCGTTCTGATTTCCCCCAGTTTTTGCTTTTTGAGCTAAATCCCACCAACTTGTCATTTTGTCATTAAGTACGGTACTACCTTGCCCATCAATAATACCTTCACCATAAATACCAGCATTATTAGAATTTTTAAACGTAATTAATGCATTACATCCTTGCCCATCACCGTTGATTGTTCCACATGTTTTTTTACCATTATCAAATGCAGATGCGTTATTAATCGCCTTTAAAGTAACACCTTTGTCTATTAATAAACTTACCCCAGATGGCATATTCAATGGGCCCGAAAGGAAGGTATTCATAGATCCATTACTTGAAAGCTGTACAGCTTTACCTGGACCACATTTATTTAAAGCACTTTGAATATCGGCTGTAATTAGATTATTTCTTGCGTATACAACTGAACAAGTTTCTGGATATTCAGGCTCTACTACGTTACGCATATCTGCAGCCGAAGAAATGGTAGGGAGAAGTGAAGATAAAATTGAAATAGGTAAGAGAAAAGAAAACTGGGAGAAAGAAAAATTCATAATAACCTTAAATTAACATAAAGTGTGACTTGTTTCACACTTTATGTTAATATATTGTGTATTTATTTTATGTATATTTTTGTACTTTGTTCTATAGGAGCAAATACCGTCTATTTGCTCCTTTTTTTAATGATTATTAGAAAACTTATTTCTTAATATTTGCATTAATGATTTTCCAATTAATATTCGTAGGAAGATGCATATCTATCATGGTTGCTTGCAGTGGTTTAGCGGCATTTGTACCGTTAAAAATAATAGTAGAGTTTCCTTTTACCGTAATATCGTTATAAGTAATATCGTGCCAATTTGCTTTAGTAGAACCTGATTTATTTTCATAAACAGTATCCATGACAATTGCATTCTTAACCTTAGACATAGTGACATGGTTATAGTTTACAGATGCTACTTCTCCCGAAGCAGACTTATCACTTTTAATTCGTAAGCCATTATCTGTTCCATTCATTATCAAACCATTAACGTCTATATTATAAACTCCATCAATTGTTTCACTACCTATTGATAAGCCATGACCAGCGCCAAAACTATTTTGTATGAAGCTCATGTCTCTAGAAGGACCACTATTCGGTTTGGCTTTAATCGCAATATTGTCATCGCCAGTACTAATATTGCTGTATGCAACAGTGACATTTCTTGAAGAAAGAAGATCAATACCATCTGTATTTCTAGCATTTGCAGGTGTATCAATTGTCGTATCCCAAGCGGTTAGGCCATTACTTTTGTAGAAAACAACGTGAAATTTTGGTGAGTTCTTTAAGGTAATTTTATAAAGTGTAATATTTTGACTATTATTAATATGAATTAAACGTGGAGCATTCTGATTGCCCCCAATCTTTGCATTTTGAGCTAAATCCCACCAACTTGTCATTTTATCATTAAGTACGGTATTACCTTGCCCATCAATAATACCTTCACCATAAATACCAGCATTGTTAGAGTTATTGAATGTAATTAACGCATTACATCCTTGCCCATCACCGTTGATTGTTCCACATGTTTTTTTACCATTATCAAATGCAGATGCGTTATTAATTGCCTTTAAAATAACACCTTTGTCTATTAATAAACTTACTCCAGACGGCATATTCAATGGGCCCGAAAGGAAGGTATTCATAGATCCATTACTTGAAAGCTGTACAGCTTTACCTGGACCACATTTATTTAAAGCACTTTGAATATCAGCCGTAATTAGATTATTTCTTGCGTATACGACTGAACAAGTCGCAGGATAATTTGGCTCGACTACATGTCGTGTATCTGCAGCCGAAGAAAGAGTAGGTAAAAGTGAAGAAAATATAGAAAGAGGCAAGAGGAAAGAAAATTTCATAAGTATCCCATTTAAAAAAATATTGTGAATCACGTCACTTAAAGGTATTAAATACCTAGGTTATTAATATCACATTAAAATAATATATAATAATATTTTATGTGATATATTTCACATTTTTATAATTTAAAGTGATATATGTTAGATAAATTGTTTGCCACATTTGCATGTACTCTGATCACGGCGGTCTGTAGTGCAGCTAATTATCCTGTCACAAATTTGAATAAGTTAACTGGGTTTGCGCAACAAGCCCATGTCACTGGTGGTGCAGGTGGAAAAGTTGTTATTGTAAAAGACATCTCAACGTTAAAAAATGAATTACTTGGTAGTGAAGCAAAAACTATTGTAATTGAAGACCAAATAGGTAGTAATTCTAAACAGATCTTGGTTTTTGGAAGTAATAAAACCATCGTTGGTTCATTTAATAACTTAAATGTTTTGAATAATATTTATTTAGTTTCTTCTGCAAATAGCTCGAATGTTATTTTTCAAAACTTAGTTTTTAAGCATGATCCTAAAATTCGTGATAATGGAGATATACAGCTTTATATTGCTTCTGGAAATAAATATTGGATTGACCACTGCTCATTTGTTGGACATAAATGGAGTGTAAATGATGGTAGTTTAGATAAGCTTATTCATGTAGGGGAATCAGCAGATTACATCACGATTAGTCATTCATTATTTGCAAATCACAAATATGGTTCGATCTTTGGTTACTCTATGGAAGGATATAATTCAAAGTATAATGGATATCCACGTATGACTTTATCAAATAATTATTATAATAATATTGATGTTAGATCGCCGGGTCTTATGAGATATGGTTACTACCATTCATATAATAACTATATTTCGAATTATCATCTTGGTTATACGTTATCCCAAAATGCAAGGCTTCTTTCTGAAGCAAACTATTTTGAATCTGGCTATGAAAAAGGGATTGTTGATGATAAAAAGGAAAATACCTCTTTTACAGATGTTAATAGCTATCCTAGCAGTATAAGTAGCTATTCTAGACCAGCATCATGGAAAGTCCCTTACTCTTATAGAACACAGACTGCTAGTTTCGCCAAGAACTGGGATATGAATTATTCAGGTGCTCAGGCTTCTTCAGGCAAATTTGTTTATCCGTATTAAAAAACTTATGGGCAGGGATTACTTGCCCATTAAATTGAATACCATAAATCTAATTTTTAGAATATGTATCATACATATAACAACCTAAGTTTCTTTGAAAAGATTTAAAAAATATTAAAGTCTTCTTTTCAACAAAGATTGTTACAGAATGCATTTCAAAACTTACTTTATTATATTTTTAACCCAAAATCAGATCGTATTAACTACTATCGCATCAATATATGCTCATTAACGACTGTAAAGCTAAGGCATCTTTCTATTTTTATATGCAATATAATAAAATGCACATAGTGTGCGTCTCTTCTTTATTTTTCTTATGTCGGGGTACTTAAAAATTACTCGTCATCTTTTTTTATCCTTACAATCTCACTGACCAAGTGCCATTTAATTTTTTTTTGTCCCCACAAACTCCGCCTTTTTGTTGAACTCAAAGAAATAAAATGATGATGAAAAATGGAAATATTTGCATCTTTGTTGAAAGAAAGGTAAATTAGGTGATTGAATTTTTTTGTTAATCAGCGATTTGCAGGCACAAAAAAAGCCCGAATTCTTTGGCGAGAGCATGGGCTTCAGATGTACATGCTAATCAGCTTTGGAACGCTAGCATGCAAACTTATTATATCAATAATGTTGAGTATCGCAAGCCAGTGAGCTTGCAAAATGAACATTAATCTAAATTTTAAGGCTCAATTTTTTAAAAATTTACCCTATAAGCCTTACTGTACCAACGATTTAGGCTGTACGTTTATTAATTCAAAAGAACATGCAGTAACCAAGCGTTATATCCAATGTAATCCTCCACATCAAATTGTTTACCTTATCTTTGATGTTGATGACCCTCAAGCTGTAATGTCATGGTATGACGCAAACCTACCACCTCCAAGTTGGACAGCCCAAAACCCTGAAAATGGGCATGCTCATATTGTTTATGAACTAAAAACTCCTGTTTTAACAACCAATGCATCTCGACAAAAAATCGTACGTTATTTATCGGCTATCCAAGTAGGTCTAGCGCAGAAATTAGGAGCAGATATGGGCTATGCCCAGCTTCTAACGAAAAATCCTTGCCATAACCATTGGCGCGTTAAAATGTGGACAAAAGAAAAATACGAACTTGATTATTTGGCAGACTTTGTTGATCTGACGAGTAAACCTAAGAAGCAACAAGAAGTATTTGGCTTAGGTCGTAACTGCACTCTTTTTGAAAGTGTGCGTAAATGGGCCTATAAAGCAATTAGAGCGAAGCGAGGTAGTACCTTTAACGATTGGTTAAATGACGTTATAGAACACTGTGATCGAGTTAATCGTAGTTTTAGTACTCCATTACCGTATTCAGAGATCAAAGCGACAGCTAAATCTATTGCACGCTATTGTTGGAAGAATGATGCTTATTTCTATCAGGAGTTTATTGATCGACAAAGCCGTAAAGGTCGCATAGGTGGTCAAAAATCAAAACGGGGCCGTAAAGAAGAGTCTGAACGTACCTTAAAACCCTGGGAAAAACAGGGCATATCAAGGCGTAGTTACTATTATAAAAAATCAAAAAATAATTGCACCAAATAAGCCTAAATCAGATAACAGCCGTTTGGCTTTTCTTCCTCGTTATCTATTGAAAATTATTTTATTTAATTTTAACTTTTTTTAATTAAGCAAGCCTACCCCGTAGCCACAAAATATTAAAACTGCTTCGCAATTTTATATTTTATGTCACGGGGGCTTGTTAGGGGATTCCCCCTAAGACCCCAATCATTGAGAACCTAATTTAGTAAAATGTTATGGCAAAGAAAGAATTAAAAACAGAAGTTAAACGTCTACGTTTAACTAAATTAGAAGCGGAACAACTAGAAAAATATTTGAATGATCACGATCTCAATTTTAGTGAGATGGTAAATACATTAATCAGTCAAAAAATAAAGTCTGAATTTTCGACTGTATCAGCCGAGCCAATAGAAATATTTAGTGAACAAAAGAAAAAGCGTCAACCAATTAAACAGCCACCGAAAGCAGACCCAGCACTACTTTTCCAAATTGGTCGAATTGGTAATAACTTAAACCAACTTGCCAAATCATTAAATATTCTTAGACAAGATACGAATAGCGTTCCTAACTTTTCATTTCTTGAATGCTTTCATGTACTCAGTCAAATGCAAAAAGACTTACATCATTGGCTTGGTGAGCTTCCCAAAATTGAACGTAGTCCTGAAGCTGTGAATCGTGCAAGAGAAAGAGCTTTAAAGAAAAGGGAAACATAATATGTATATTAAGTTTTTGAAACATGGAAAGGGCGACCCCGCAAAAGCTGCGAGCTATTTAGTTGATGAAGTCGATCATCTCAACCGCCCTAGAGCTGACGTTCAAGTATTAAGTGGAGATCCACAGGCGTTTACTGCCTTAGCTGAATCTATAGAGAATGAGTGGAAGTATACAAGTGGTGTCATTGCTTGGTCTAAAGATGATGCACCAACCAACCAAGAAATTAACGAAGTATTAGACCACTTTGAAAAACATGCCTTTTCAGGGCTACAGCCTGATCAATACCACTTCACAGCAGTTTTACATCAAGAAGATGATGGCTCAAAGCATGTGCATTTCTTAGTACCTCGAATTGAACTAGATACAGGAAAAGCCCTCAATATTGCTCCTCCCGGACATGAAAAATATTTTGACCCTCTAAGGGATTATTTTAACTATTCAAAAGGTTGGTCTCGCCCTGATGACCCAAGTTTACAACGTGACACACAAGCCCCTGACTACCTTCATTATCAAGATAAATCTGCACTAAAAGTAGGTTTAAAAGGGAAGTCTGCTAATGATGTTCGTGAACTTATTGGAAGCTATATAGAGCAACGTATAGAACATGGTTTTGTTAGGAATAGAACCGATGTTTTAAACGCTATTTCAGAGCTTGGGGAGGTTGCTCGGCAGGGTAATAATTTTATTTCCCTAAAATTAGATGGTGCAGATAAATCAGTACGCCTAAAAGGTGCATTTTATGAGTCAAAATTTAGTGTCGAATCTTACATCAAGAATCGAACAAGAAAAGCAAATGATGCAAACGCATCAAGAGAACATAGAGCAATTTCAAGAGAACACAGCGCACTTGCTGAACAGTGCAAAGCAAAGCTTACAACACTTTCAAGCAGACGCTCAACATACAACAGAGAACGCTACCAACCTCTTAGTGCAAGCCCAAAAGAACCTCGTTTTATTCCAATCAGAGAGCAAGAGTTTAGTCCAAGTCCTACAGCAACAGACGCAAGAAACAACCACACTATTGAGGGACCAAGCAGAGCAACTCAACCATTTAAAAACTCAATTAGCTCAACTCAACAGCATGAGCCAAGAGATCGCGGAAACATCACGACTCAGGAAAAACCTTTTTACATCGAACATCATCTTAATTTCAGTAGCTCTTATTTTTACTATCTTGAGTATCAGTCTAATCTACATCAGCAAAAGCAAATACAACGATATCAAGGAAATGCAGAACAAAGTGAATTATCTGAAATCGCAAGGTGGGAGCATGATCACAACGAAATGCGATGGGAAGCTATGCGTTCAAGTAGACCCAGAATATACCAACAGCCCTTACGAGACGACAGACACAAAACAGCCATTAGTGATCGTCAAGGAGGTCAATTAAATGAATCTCGAAGCACAGTTATTGAAGATCATCGAAGAACAACAGAATCAGTTAAAAGAACAGCAGAACGAGCAAGAGAAAGCATTACAGCTCATTCAAGTGCAATCAGCGACTATCAAAGAGCTACAAAACTACACGAGCACTTTGAAAGAGAGATACAGCGAAGCAGTGCAGATCGTAGAGAGATATCGGCAGATCGTGCGGCAGCTATCAGAACAAACTATCTCAGAGAATTTTTCACAGAAAATACAAGAGGACTTACAGCAACAACTACAGCTACGTTTAACCAATTTAGTCGAGAACTTGCAGATCGAGAACAAAGTCAAAGCATCAATAGAACATCTCGTTCCGAATATTTTGCCAATGATAGTGGAGAACGAAATAGAGTTTCAGCTAAAGCCAATCATAGAAGAAATGACCGAGAAAATAGCCTCACTAGAGCGTTATCAACAAAAGTTAGTGGATTTAATTCAACAAATATCTTTAAGGCTTTAGATCAGTTAGATAAGAGGAAAGAATTACAACGAGAGAAGGAACGTAAAAATAATCGAGGATATGATTATTTTTCTAGTCTTTTTTGATATTAAAAAAAAAGCAGGCACATGATACCTGCTAAAAAGATTTACGCGTTTATTTAACGTAAATCAGAATTAATATTTTATTAGATATATTCAAATTCAAC